TCGAGAGCAGAGAACAACAAGATAACTTACCAAAAATTAAATTCTGAAACATACAAAAATTTATTAACACAGAAATTCGAGAGGAGAGAGCAACAAGATAAGTTAGCAAAAATTAAATTCTGAAACATACAAAAATTGATTAACACAGAAAATTTAGCAAAGAAGAAAAATATTATTTTACCCCACCCAAAAATAAAAAATGAAGCAAAGGGAAATATTACTTTACCCCACCCACAAGTAGAAAATTAAGCAAAGGGAAATATTACTTTACCCCACCCAAAAATAGAAAATTAAGCAAAGGGAAATATTACTTTACCCCACCCAAAAATTAAGCAAAGGAGTGAAACTTTACCCAACCCAAAACTTTCATAAAATAGAAAATGCAATCAAAAGTCCTGAAAATGAAATAAAATCGCGAAATAAAATCGTGTGCTCGAAATTCGAGCAAAACGCGTTAAACGATACTTTCGTACCGTAAAAAAAACACATAAAATACAAGAAAATAATTGCGAGCATAGTGACAGAATGACTGTCCATCCTAAGATTTTAGGATGGACAGCCATTAATAGTTCCCCTCTTCTTTGGCAACTTTTGCCGGGGCTCTTCGGCATATAGCCTCTTCTCTCTTCGGCAAAGCCTCACAAAAATCACTCGCGAAATTTTACGGTAACTCGGATATTCTTTGCTTTCAATTACATAAATTCTTGATTTCGTTATCGATCTCCACAAACAGAATGCAGTCACACTTTTTTGCAGTCGCACATTTATAAAAATAAAAATGGACCACTATCCGCTTGCTTCGATCAACAACCAAATCAAAATTTTATGTAAAAGAACCATATTTGTAAAAAAAATGTCTCTACTTTTGCAAAAATGAATAAACTTCATGACTCGAAATTAAAAGTTAAGGATTAAAAATACGACCAGCGATTCTCAGAATGCGCTGTCCGTAAAAGAATGTCCGAGCAGAATATTTTATTTCACTGCACTTCACTTCACT